TCTCGAATCTGGGCGAGTGACTGGCGCCTGCTGAGCGCTGTTGTTGTGGTGGGAGGCGGTGCGGTGCTGATGGCGGTGGACGAGTGCCGCGGGCGTGAGGGTCCAGCTACGGGTGATCTGGAGTAGGCCGCCGACGAGAGCAGCTCCCGGGCGGCACCGCCGTATCGATGTGCCGAAACCATGTTGCTAAGTGAGTGTGTTGGTGTATGTATGCCGCGTCGGCATTCCCGGTGGTCGCGTGGGTGGTGCCGGGTGGGTATTTTGCCTGTTTGGCTATTGCTATTGGCGGTCCGAATGTGACATGGAGGAGGCAGAGGTGTCGGCGGTGCTGTCGATGGTGACCGTAGAGAGGGATGGAGCGGAATGGCCGGGGTCGAGTCAGGCCCAAAGAGTCAAGGTCGCCAGAAGGCGGGGGAAGCAGCGCCAGTAAAAAAAAGTGGGAGGCGTGGCAGCAGCCAGCAGGCGTCGGGCCTTCCTACGAGGAATAACCGGGGTCCTCCCCGCGCTGGAGCCTGTTTAGAGCGAGACGGGCACAGTAGTGTCAGCTGCTGAGTGATGCAGGTGCGGAACGCTGCCGAGGCCGAGAGAGCAGAGTGCGGTCACGGCGCGCGCTGCGTCCATCGGATCACTCCGCTGAAAGCGGACCGGCCGATCGTGGGGTTAGAGCGCTGTGGCCGCATCCGCCGCCTTCTGCCCGAAAATTCACGGCCATCCACTTGACCCCGTTGATCCGGCCGAGACAATAAAATTGCAGAAAGCGAGGGTCTAACATCTTAACGGAATTCGCGGCCTCGTCTTCACCGTCGACGACATGGACCGACGAGCCGACGAGCCGTCTGCCCGAACATGCTAAAGACCGAGGAGCAGGGCTAATGCAAGAGGCCGCCTCTAAGCTTCAGAGACTAGAGGCCTTTTCGATCGTTGCCAAGCAGGCACTGGCCTCTTCAGCCCGCAATCGGGGTCCTATGTGCTCTGTGTGTTGCGCTCGAGTCATAGCGTTAGTGTTGGGACAAGCACAGTAAAAGCGCTCCTGGCACGGTATGGGCGTCTCATGTTTACTGTAGCAAGGCCGTTATACGCCAAGCTAGTTGAAAGCGCCGTCGTGGGAGGGGCAAACAACTGGGACGCCTGCTTCGGAGATTATTCCAAAGGTAATCGCCGACGCATCTCAAACACGGCAGCAGTGTGAACCCGGCAGAACCCTGAGCCATGGAAGCCTCCACAACTTTTTTGTTGTCCCGCCGAGTCCACTTTCATACAAAACGCCCACCATCCATGAGTTTATGACTAGGACCCTCATGCAACCCTCCGTACCACCCTAGCCATCCGGTCGACCATCGTCATGTCGTCTTCAACCTCCACGATCTCGGGTTCGCCGTCGGCGCCGCTCTACAATGCCGGCACCCTCGGCAAGGCTCGGCAGCTGGTGGGTGTGGCCGCTCTGTGCTGTGCAATGCTCCTAACACAATCAGCGCTAGGACAGACCGTGGTGCCCATCCGCAGCATCGCACGTAGCTTTGGCGTCGAGTCGTCCGACGCACAGCAGTCGTGGTTCGCAGCCAGCTTTTCGCTCACCGTCGGCACCTTCGTCCTGCCCGCCGGCCGCATTGGGGATCTCGTCGGCCACAAGCCCGTCGTCATCGCCGGCTACCTCTGGCTTGCGCTCTGGGCACTCCTCGCGGGACTATCGCACTACACCCGCTCGTACATCTTCTTCGACGTGTGCCGTGCGATGCAGGGAACAGCCTGCGCTCTACTGCTGCCCAACTCGCTCGCCATCCTCGGCCGTGTCTTTGCTCCGGGCAGCTTTGCAAAGCACCTCAGTTTCTCGTTCTTTGCTGCCACTGCCCCCAACGGGTTTCTGGTCGGCGCAGTGTTTACGACGCTCATAGACATGAACCGCAGGATGGGCTGGTTCTGGGGATTCTACGTCATGGCTATCGTGGCGACGCTGCTGGCAGTGCTGTGCGTCTGGGTGTTGCCGTCCGAGCAAGAGATGCAGGCGGTCAGCACATCGTGGAGCAAGGACCACGCGGCTGTGAATGGCGAGGGGCAACAAGTGCCTGAACAGGCAGTAGGGAACAAGGGCAGGTGGTGGGATAAGGTGGATCTGTTCGGTACGGTCACGGGCGTCGCGGGACTCGTGCTCTTCAATTTCGCCTTTAACCAGGCGCTCGTCGTCGGATGGCAGACGGTGTACGTCTACGTTCTGCTCATCGTCGGCGTTGTGCTGATCGGTGTTTTCATCGCAGGCGAGTCGCGCGCGTTGTATCCGCTGCTACCCACCAGCGTCTTCCACCTGTCCGGCAGTCTCATTTTGCTCTCGCTCGCTTTCGGTTGGGCCTCGTTCGGCATCTGGATTTTCTACCTCAACCTCTTCCAGCAACTCATCCGCGGCTACTCGCCCATCTTCACGATCGTCAGCATCGTTCCCGCCGGTGTTGCTGGCATCCTCGCTGCCTTCTCCTCGGCTTACATTCTGGGCCGGACGAGTGCACCACTCGTAATGCTGCTCTCGCTTTCGGCGTTCTGCATCGGCAGCATTATTAACGGGATAGCTCCAGTTGGTGTCCCTGCGCTCACGTATGTATCGTCGGCCATAATGCCGTTTGGGATGGACATGAGCTTTCCTGCCGCAAGCATCATCCTTAGCGACTTCTTGCCATCGCACCAGCAAGGAACAGCGAGCAGCATCGTTAATACGATCGTCAACTACGCCATCGCACTCGGACTCGGTTTTGCGGGCGTTGTAGAGACGCACGTCAACGACCAAGGACGCAATCCGCTCAAGGGCTACAGGGGCGCCTTCTACATGGGCATCGGCTTTGCAGGCGCCGGTGTCGCCTTGGCACTCGTCAATCTGCTTCTTCACTTGCGATCGAGCCGGAGCGCAAATTCGCACGCTGACGCCAAGACAGACGAGGCATAGAGCGGAATATGCAGCAGAAGACTGGTTGGAAGAATAGAACAGCATCTGTACAGTATTGGATAATCGCATACACCAGGTATTGACAAGAACCAAGCATGACGAGGAGAACAGGGCTGTGCCGGCGGCAGTGGTGTGGGTGATAACGAGGCAGTGCGTGCATGAACACAGCTGTACAATGGATCTTGAGCCGGCGGTGAAGGTGGGCGCTGTGACAAGCATCGGTTCAAAGTGGTGCAAGGGGGTCAAGGTGCCGAAAGACAGTCCGTCGAGCCATGCGAACAAGGTGCCGAGCAGACCACCGAGCAGCAGATCTCGTTTTTGTTTTTTTTTTTCTTTTCGGCAATTTTTCCGGGGCGATGGGCGGTGAAGGTGCCGAACCAGCAGCCGAAGATTCGCCCACCGCGTTGTTCGGCAGCTTGTTCGGGAAGCCAGCTGCGGTGCTCGACGTGTTGCTCCCGCCGGAGGTGCAACGACGATCTGCGTGCCGCACCACGTTTCCGCCTCGTTGCGTCGCCAGCACCATGCGCAGCGCCATCCTACAAGCTCGATCCGGCGAGGCCAGGCTACGGTATAAAGACATCGGCGTTGGCGAGGTTGCCCAGTCCCTCCAACACTCAACCTCACTCGCACCACTCATATTCTCTCTGCACGATAAGCAACATGACTTGGCCAACAACCACGATCTTTGATGCGGTGTTTATCCCACTGTACGCCATCGTTGGAGTGCTGAATCTGGTCAATGTGGTGCGCCATGGACGCGGGCGCACTGTGGGTTTTATCTCGCTCCTCATCTTTTCTCTCGTCCACCTGGCAGGCAACATCCTTCTAGTTGCCGAGTACAAGGCCAACTATGCGTCGATCGACGTTACAGTCTGGGGTTACATTCTTCAATCCGTCGGACTGTCATTCCTGGTTTCGGCGTCGATTGCGTTCTACACCCGAGCGCGCGGACTGCTGCACGAAGACGACAAGGCGGATCGCATTACCAAGCTGCTGAATCTCGTCAACCTCGCGGCTCTCATCTGCATCATCACTGGATACACCAGCACGGACTTCACCAATGCTCAGGGCGAGGTGATTAATCCCAAGCTACCGGTACAGTGCAAGATCGGCGCGCTGCTCTACGTGGGCCTCATCGTCGTCATGGCGCTGATGGCGGCTGTGCGCCTTGCAAGCGCGAGCATCGGTGAGGCCAAACTCATCAAGCTATCCTTGCTCGTCGCCATGACATTCATGCTGGTAAGAGCGGCCTACTCGGTGTACGCCACTTTCAAGGGGTCGATTCTCGTGCCCAACAACGTGTGGGTGAAACTGGTGCTGCAGTACATGGCCGAATTTCTTGCGCTCGCCACGTATACCGCCCTTGGATTTCTGCTGGATCGCACTGCAAAGACAGCCCACTTTCACATCGAGGACGGGGCGGGCATCAGCCCGGGCACAGACTACAGCTCGACTGACGGTCTCCACAAAGTGCCCATCACCTACGGCCAGCCTCGCATCCCGCCATCGCGCGCGTGACAGCCAATGCAGACACCCCGACTGTAAATAGCAGCATGTCAAGAATGAACAAAGGCATTTCGAATTTGAAGCAGGAACCTACGGGCACAGAGTTTTGGTTGGGACTTTGGCAACTACTGGTCAATGTCGAGCACGATGCGGCCTGCGATCTTGCCGCTCTGCATGTCGTCGTACACCTGGGGCAGCTGGCTGAGGCCGAGCGTCTTGAAGTGGGTGCGCACCTTGCCGCTCGCGGCGATCTCGAGCGCCTCCTGCGCGTCCTGGCGGTTGCCCACGTACGATCCCACCACGCGCACCGAGCGGAAGACGGTGAAGAAGACGTTGGCGCGGATGTCCGTGTTGCCAGGCAGACCGACGGCGACGAGCACGCCGCGCGGGCGGATGTAGTCGAGCGCCTGCTCGTACGCCGCTGCGCCCGAGGCGGCCACCACGGCCGCCTGCGGTCCAAAGCCATCGGGCGTGGCTGCCTTGATGTCGTCGACGAGGCTCTTGGACGTCTTGAAGTCGATGAACTTTTCGGCGCCGAGCGACTCGCACAGCTGCTTCTTGTCGGCACCCGTGTCGATGGCGATCACGCGGTAGCCGGCGGCGACGGCGTACTGGATGGCGAGGTGACCCAATCCTCCACCGGCGCCAGGAATCGCCACGTACTGGCCGGGGATGAGCTGCGCCTCCTTGAGCGCCTTGTACACGGTGACGCCTGCGCAGAGGATGGGCGCGGCCTGGTCGAGCGGCAGCGCGTCCGGGATGATGGAGAGGTGGTTGGCGTACGACACGGCGTACTTTTGGAACGAGCCGTCCACGCTGAAGCCCGAGCACTGGGCGTGCGGGCAGTTGGGCTCGGCGCCGGTGCGGCAGAAGGAGCAGTTGAGGCACGAGGTGGCGATCCACTTGATGCCCACACGGTCGCCGACCTTGACGAACTGGTCGGCACCCTCGCCGAGCGCCACGACCACACCCGCGCCCTCGTGGCCACCGACGAGAGGCAGCTTGTTGTCGAGCGGCCAGTCGCCGAGCATGGCGTGCAGATCCGTGTGGCAGACGCCCGTGTAGATGACGCGGACGAGCGCCTCGCCGCGCTTGAGCTGCTTCTGCACGGGCACGTCCTTGATCGAGACGGGGCCGCCCTGCTTGTCGAAGATGGCGACGCGGTTCTGGCCCGACACGTCGAGCTGTTGCTCGCGCGGGTCCTGCGCAGCGTGGGAGCGGGAAGAGGTAGCAGCGGGAGCCATTTTGAGTGTTGTTCTGAGACTTGTTGGGGCTGGTGGGAGTTCGAGGGTTCGAGCGAGCTAGATGTGCTTGGATCGATGTCGAGCTTGTGGGGAAGGCTGATCATTCCAGGCGAGAGGGGCCTCGCTATTTATGCTTCTCCGATACCAGCACCTCGACCCCGAAGCACAATGCTGCATGCAGCAGAGCAATCGACTCATTGCATGTGAGGGGCGGCCGCCACCGACGCTTTCGATCAACGCTTTCGAACAGAGTGACTTCGCTAAGAGGGTCGGCGGTTCCTGCCATCGCCTGCCTACTACGCGCCGCGGCGGCACCTCGACGCACGGACGCGTGCCTCGCGCGCCACCTCCAAGCTGACTCGGCATGTCTCCGCTCACTTACGACGACAGCTGTGATCCTTGGCACGGGCCGTGAGCTGCGGAGGAGCCGAAGCCAGCGCAAGACGCCGGTGCTCTCCCGCGTGTTGCTATTTCATCGAGGCGTCGGGTCCCACGCTCAGGCGGTCAGCCGAGCGACCAGGCCCTGGGCTTGGGCAGTCTCGTCGGCTCGCATCCGAGGCTGGCCTCCACCCAACAGTGCGCCAGTCAAGACAGCGCGGAGGTGCTGCAGTCTGGCCAGAGCTTCCGACCCAGTGAGCAAGGACAGCTCGGCGGTGCGCTCGCCAAAAAAATGCGCCAGGCTGCCGCACTTTTTCATGCAAAGCCACGTCGGCCGGCCAATTTCGCCTGCGCTGCCGCTGCCGCTCGACCTTAATTTGTGGGGGCGCATGGATGTCGTGTGCGTGCGCGACACATGACCCGCCTCTCTGGCTGCCCACCTTCCCCGCACTCGCTCGCTGATCAGAGCATGGCTGGCAATGCTCCCCGCTGCATTTCTAGAACTCACGCCTGGACCCGCGCCCGGCGCCAGCTCCCGCCTCGCGATCGTCCAAGCGCCGCCATCGCTACGCTGCACGAAGGCCGTCTTTCGCACACCGACTCGCGTGTTGGTTGGGTGGCAACGCATGCCTCCTGTCGGACGGGGCTGCATTACGCACGAGTGAGCTCGTCTCATCGCCCATCCCTGTCCTCATTCAGCTTCGAGAGGGCATGGTGCAGTCGGCACGGCCGAAGCTCGAGACTTGCTTTTTTGGGCGCCTTTTTGGGCATGATTTTTGTTGCACATTTTCCCATCTTCGCGAATTGATTTTTAGTTCTGTAGCTCAGCTCGGAACTCGGAAGGCGCAAGCCAAGTTTCCTTTCTTCTTGCTCTTCCTCCTTGGACCCTGGAAGCCCCGCCTGCTCACCGCACACCTTCTCCTCGTCCCTATTCACACAGCCCATCATGGCGGCCGATCCCTTTGCGCACGCGCGGCCCAATTGGGAGCATATATCGTCCGCACCCGGGCTCGACTCGGACCGCGTGCCGCTCGCGTCCACCGCACCCGTGCTCAAGATCTACGAAGAGGCGGTGCAGGAACCGGGCGTCGAGTGCCGCAACATCGACTCGCTCTACAGCCAGGCGCAGCTCGACGGCTCGGACCGCTACGATGCACGCATCCTCCGCGAAGACTTTTGCAGCACCGCCATCATCGCCACCACCTGGGCGGGCATGGACGCGCGCAACCGCAGCCAGGGCGTCGACATCGACCTCGTCGCGCTCAAAGATACCCACGCGCGTCTGCGCAACCGCCCTGGCTTTGTGCAGCTGCTCCAGTCGCCCAGTTTCGCCCAGGATGGACCATATACCAAAGTGCTATCTGCAGAAGTCTTGCCTGCGACTGGCGCAGAGACAGAAGCAGTCAAAGAGACGCCGCAAGACGCCGCGCCGGCAGCCGACACGTGGGCGCCAGGAGCAGCAACCGAAAGATTCGATCGAAAGCGCAACAAGAAGCTCGCAAAGCAAGCCAAGAAGGATGCTGCCATCGAGGCGGCGCGCGTAGCACGTGCAGCCTCGCAACCCCCCGCGGCTGACGGTCCAAAGATGAAGCTGCTCCACAGCGACGTGCTCGATCTTCCCGTTGCGCCCGTCGCGGCCGAAAGCCTCGACTCTGCACTCGAGGCACCGGACGTGATAGCGTCGCTCAACTATGCCATGGCGTACTTTCACGATCGCGCCACGCTGCTGCGCTACCTGCGCATGGCGCGCGCCACTCTGCGTCCCAAGACGGGCGTGTTTATCACCGACATGTTCGGCGGGCCCAGTACGGGCGAGTCGTATCCCGACCAAGACGCCACCTGGGCGCGATTCCAGGGCGAGGTCGGCTTTGGCAGGGATGGCGGTGACGCGCGCGGGCAGTATGTGCTTCGCGCTGATCGGTCGAGGGCCGGCTTGCGCAAAGACGCCAGCACCCACGCTGGGCTAGCCGCCATCGATGGACGTGGTGCGAACCGTGCGCGTCCCGCCCGGGACAACGATGCGGACGACGAAGAGGCCGAGCGTGTGCTGGAGCTCATGCCTGCGCCAGACTCCTCATCGCTAGGCACGAGGGCAGAGTGGCCACGGGGCAAGCTGAAGCTCGTGCGTACGGGCGAGGAGCACGGCGGCTTCGAGTACTGGCGCGAAGACGGGCCGGTGGACTGGATGACGAACCGCTTCCGCATGAGTCTCAGCTTCCGCTTCTCGGACGCCAGCTGGCTGCGCGATGTCTTTTCGTACGACTTCCGCGTGTGGAGCATCAAAGAGCTCACCGAGGCCATGGAGGAGGCCGGCTTTGTGCGCGTCCAGGTGCACATCCTCCCGCGCAACATCGTCGACTCGGACCGAGGCGATGCCATCGATGACGACGCAAGCGATGCAGCAAGCGAAGCAGCAGACGAAGCGGATAGCATGGCCGGCCTCCTGCTGAGGACCGAAAAGGAAGAGCGCAATAAGAGCTCGTATACCGCAGTCAAGGCGGGCGAAAAGGTGTTTGCCAACCGTAGCTTTGCAAGTAAGTCCCCCTTCCGCATCCGAGTCCGCCATGTTGTGGCGAGCGGATAGGTTCTGACTTTGAACGTTCTTTTTCTGCCCCTACAGCTTACATTGTGGCATGTGCACCATAGACTTTTTACATATACACACATCTCCAAACGGAATCGCCTAGTATACACTCGAAACGCACGAGCACCGTACTAGCACCGGAACCTGGTCCCAGCGTCCAGACTGCGCTGTCTTCCCTCGACACTGTGTTTCCAGCTCAAAAAGGTCAGCTCGACGGTCTCTCTTGGGTTGATGAGGCGCAGCAAACTTACGCGCCGGTGACGGCGATGCCGCCCGAGGCGAGACCTTCGGTGGCGCCGATAAACTTGTTGTAGTCCTCGATGGTGACGAGCGTTTCGTCGGAGAGTGCGCGTCGCTTCCACTCGAGTGTCGGTCTTCCCTGCGTTTGCGACCATGGTGTCCCCCATCGTCGCCTCATCGGCTGTGCTTGTGCTGCCGGTAGCACCGGCGGTGAACTCGCACCCGGAATCGAACGACCTTGTGCGGCAGCCAGGTACTCTGGCGCATGTGTCTGGTGGTGTTTCAATGTAGCACAAATTGCCTGTCTCTGCTCGGCCTCCTCTATGCTCAAAACTTCGTCAGCTAGCATCCCCGACAAGATTCGACGTGTGATGACTTACTCAGCTTCTTCTTGTATGCCGTGCGGCGCTGCGAGCGTAGATTGGTTGCCTGGTATCCGATAGCTGCTGCACCCAGCGTCACCGCCGCCGAAGTGCCGTACGCGCCTGCGACCGATTTGCGCTTGACGCCCATGCCGAGAAAGTTGTCGACACCCAGATTGAGCTTCTTCGGCACCTGCTTCACTGCGTCCTTGAGCTTGGTCGATGACAAAGACTCGACACCTTTTTCGAGATCGACAGGGTCTTCGCCCGCGGCGTGTGCGCCCAGCGCACAAACCAGAAGCCACAGTATCGAGATCACCACAGAGAGTCGCATCGTGCACGCCTCTGGAACAGGTATCGAAGGGGTTGGTCCAAGGAGAAGAGGCTCGGTGTTTGGTAGAGAGCGGCGACGACAGGGGGGGAATCTTCTAGCAACGCGCCGCAACGGATCGCTCGTGCTTAAGTACCAAACAGGCTGGAGGGCTGGAGGATGTCTGGGCAACCTGCAACCTAGACCGAATGAAGTGGCGCGGCGGCTTGGATGCGTTGCGTACGCCGGCGGTTAGACAGGCGCAACATCCACACGCTGGTGCTTACAAGAACGCCGAGATTTGATTGAGTGCCCTCCTGCGGGATGAGAACGAGCAAAACGACATGCGAGGCAAGGTTGTGCATCCGTCGATCCGAACGACAATGCTCCCATCGAGAGCCGTGATTTCGTCATCCCGATCCGTATCCAGCACAATGGCACGTGCTCAGCACACATACGCCTTCAACGCCCTTCTCAAGTCACCATGTCGTTGCCAAGCGTGGCCCACGCGTGAGGTGGGCTTTAAAGCGAGGCGTGCCGTCAGGTTTTCCAGCACGCGCTCGATCGTGCTCACGCCCCTTTGCTCCCACCCGGGCGGGATTGGTCTCCCACACATCACATAACCGTCTCATCAAAGCAGCAGGGGCACGATGCAATGTTTGCGCACGCTGCGACACACCGACCAAGGCCCGGCGAGAAGCCGATCGATCCGGGCTCTGCACAAATGCGCGCGGCTGCACGTGCGCAACTTCATCACACCAAAGCGGGCAGGACAGACACAATGTATTTCTCTTGTGGGATTAGACGCACGTGCACGGCACGCTCAGAGGTCGGCGGGAAGGTAGTCGGAGTACTGCTTGGACTTGACCTTGTCGAGGTCTTCCTCGGTGATGCTCTTGACCTGGTCGCCGGCGTTGTAGCCGAAGCGCTTGGCCGAGTTGGTGGCGCCGGCCTTGAAGAATGCGGGGCGACGGAGGATGGTCACGACACAGCTGCCGCCGAGGCCGATGTTGTGGGTGAGGGCGTGCTTGACGTTCTTGACCTGGAGCGCGCCGGCATCGCCACGCAGCTGGTCGACCATGTACTTGATCATGCCGAGGCCGGTGGCGCCGAGCGGGTGGCCCTTGGACTCGAGACCGCCCGAGGGGTTGACGACCCAGCCCTTGCCGCTGTCGTTGTAGGTGTTGAGCTTCTGCTCGACGAGCTTGTGCGCGTCGCCCTCGGCGCACAGGCCGAGCGCCGGGTAGGTGACCAGCTCGTTGGGGGCAAAGCAGTCGTGCAGCTCGAGCACCTGGATGTCCTGCGGGCCGACGCCGGCCTGCTGGTATGCGATCTTGGCGGCGCGGCGCGACATGTCGGCACCGGCGAGCTCGATGCGCGAGCGGTCCTCGTAGAGGCGGATCGAGTCGGTGGCGACACCCATGCCGGCGAGCTCGATGGCGCGGTCCTCGAGGCCGTGCTTCTTGACAAAGTCCTCGCTGGCGACGATCACGGCGGCACCGCCGTCCGAGGTGGGCGAGCACATGGGCAGCGTGACCTCGCGGGTGATCTTGCGCGCCTTGAGCACCTGCTCCTTGGAGGGGGTGGCGCGGAACTGGGCGTAGGGGTTGTTCTTGGCGTGGAGGTGGTTCTTGGCCGAGATCTCGGCGATGTGGTCCCAGGTGGCGCCGTACTTTTCGCAGTACTCGAGGCCGGCGGCGCCAAAGATGCGCGCGGCAAAGGGGCCAAAGTCCTCGGTCTGGTACTCCTTGTCGCCCTCGATCTCAAAGAGCTGCGCCATGGTGCCCTCCATGGGAGCGGCACGGTCGGTGAAGGCGGACGAGAGCGAGCCGGGCGCCATCTTTTCGAAGCCGACGGCGAGGGCGCACTCTGCCTGACCGGCGAGCACGGCGTTGGCGGCGAGGTTGAAGGCGCTGGAGCCGGTGGAGCAGTTGTTGTTGACGTTGACGATGGGGATGCCGGTCATGCCGAGCTGGTACAGGACGCGCTGGCCGCAGGTGGAGTCGCCGTAGACGTAGCCGGCGGCGGCGTACTGGACGTCGTCGTAGGTGAGGCCGGCGTCGATGAGCGCCTTGACACTGGCCTCGAGGCCGAGGATGGGGTAGTCGCGGTCGGCGGGNGGCGGCGGCGTACTGGACGTCGTCGTAGGTGAGGCCGGCGTCGATGAGCGCCTTGACACTGGCCTCGAGGCCGAGGATGGGGTAGTCGCGGTCGGCGGGCTTGGTAAAGGCGGTCATGCCGACACCGACGATGTAAGCTTTGCGAGCGGCCATTTTGGGAGAATTGCAACAAGGGGGAGATGGGGCGGGGCTTGTTGGTGGTGTGGTGGGGTGGGGTGGGTGTGAGATGGTGGAGAGGCAAGGCAGGTGTAGAGGATGTATTTAAGCAGATGTTGAACGGCAGCCTCATCGTGCCCTGCACCCCGCGGCGGTCGTTGCGGTCGGCGAGGACTGTGGAGCGAGCTCGCCGACGCGAGCCAACTGCGGCGTGAGAAGCGCCCGGTCCAAAGGGAAAGCGAAAAAGCCGGACTGGCATCTCCGGCTGGAGGGCGCGGATCTGAGGCATGCCAGGGTTCACGGCGGCTGCGATCCTGCGTCGCTGTTCTGCGCTGGGCTGAGCTGCGCTGGGCGGTGTGGAGAGAGAGAGTGAAAGGCAAGCGAGCAAAGCGAGATCGAATAGCCGGTCAATTTTGGTGTGAAATGCAGCAGCTCACCAGTGCCGTTCCCCCCCCAAAAAGTGCGGGGAAGGCGCAGCGGAGAGAGCGGTTGAAAAAGGCAGACGCGCCCAAGACTGGCATTTTCACAGCGTAATCCCGTCGCCCCACCTGGCCGCGCGTAAAAGCGGCAGCCCCGCACAAAAGGAATGGAATTCAGATTTAACAGCAGAAAAGAAGCTCCGTGCTCAAAACACGTTGAGGCTCGCAACTCTACGTCAAGCCGCTCGTGACGATCAGATGCGTTGAAGGTGATGATGACGGCCTTTAAAAGCCAAGCAGATTACCGAGGAAGCCCTTGTCCTCCTTGTCGTTCGAGTCTGGGGCGGAGCCGTCCGAGGAAGGGTCGGCGCCAGCATCACCTCCGGCACCTGCACCGGCACCGTTCTTGGAGATGGCGTTGGCAGCCTGGGTGCCTGCAGCGTTGGCCGAGGCGGGCTTGATCACGTTGAAGGTGCCCTTTGCGTTCTTGCACGAGTCGCGCACGGCGGTGCTCAGCTCGCTGCCCAGCGGCTTGAGTGCGACGCACGTCTGCGGCAGCGTCCAGGTGTTGTTGTCCACATCGTAGTTGCCCTGATGCGTGCAGTGGATGGCGCCCTTGATGCCTGCCACGCGCGCAACGGGACTGTAGCACACACCCACCTCGACCGACGAGAACCAGTAGAACGTGCTGGCGATCGGCTCGTCCCTGGGCGTGTAGTTGGGAAGCGGCATGGCATCGTCGGCAGACACCAGCATCGATGCAAGCGCAAAAAGCGCACCAGTGGCAAGCATGAACCTCATTGTCAATGTTGGTCCGATATGGAGGTGCCTGTTGAAGCGTGCAAGATAGAGAAGGAGTTGATAAGGGGTCGGTCATGCGCTTCGGAGCAGCAACTGTATCGCCTTTATATCTAGCCAGCCGCCATGCGCAAGATGAAGCCATCTGGTGGGTCACTCTGTCCCCAGCCGTGCACCTTGAGCCCACCTCATGTGCCTCAAGTGGAACTGCACATTGTCGTCCATTCGGCTGCCAAATGAAGCCTTGCCTCGCCCACCTTCATCCGCAATGTGTGGGTCGCGGTGCCTCGTAGCCTTTGTCGGATACAGTGGGCGGACAGGCTTGGCCTTTCGATTCACATTTAGCTTTTGTTTGCGGCATCCACCATGATCATCATCAGCGACGCGTGCAGACAGGCTCGCCCGATGGAGCAAGGCCGTCGCAAAAAACAGGTCCTAAAGTGTTAGCACGGCATTGACAACAATCGCAGATTTCCGTTCCCGAAGGCTTTGGTCTGCCCTCAGTGCCGTCTGGCGTTGCGGAGAAGTCCGGTGTCGAGGCCCTCCATCGGGCCGCACCGAACGAGCGGCCACGTCGGAGCTCGTTGCCGCTCGTTGGCTGGGCGTGGTGAACGTGGCCGTATTCAGACGGCTGCTGCGCCCGATGTCGACGTGGCCGGCGCTGCAGGCTGAGCCTCGGCTATGCACGTTGGCATGGCCTTGCACGCTAAAATTGGATCCCACTTTCTTCTCGGCCTCGCCGCTTTCAACAACGCCGATTCCCAAGTAAGCTCAGCTTCGTCGTGGTCACGCAAGGAGGGGACGATTTCGGACGATCCGACGGCGACTGTGACAAGGTGAAGCAATGCGATGTCAAGTTTGACATGAAGGGATGATCACGATTGTGAGGGATGCGAGGGTGCGCACACGAAGGTTGCGCATGGACCAACAGTGCTGTGACGGCCGCCGTGGGGTTTGCTCGGTTCGGCTAGCCGTCCACTTCCGCATACCAGCTGCGAAGGCTCAGTCGCACGTTTTGCTCGACAACCTTATCGGCTGTCTGCTCTCCGTGTCATCGCCACAGCCCTCGCTCTCCTACATATACCCCACGATAATCGCCGTCTTCCTTCCTCCTTCCGTCCGCACACGCCGAAAAACGCTCGCAAGACACCACATCACCGTCGCGCGAATTTCAACCGGCCAAGATGGCGACAGCAATCAAGGATCTCTACGGCCGTCTCTCGAACGTCTACACCTCGTTCAGCCCGCCTTCGGTCGTCAAGCGCACCGTCTCGGATGCAGCCGCTGGCTCTTCCGCCGGGCCTTTGAGGCTCGGTATTCTGGGCGCCGCCAACATCGCGCCGCCCGCCGTCATCATCCCGGCCCGATCGCATCCAGATGTCATCGTCTCGGCCGTCGCCGCGCGCTCCAAGGACAAGGCCACGGCCTACGCAAAGAAGCACGGCATCCCGCACGTCTTTGACTCGTACGATCAGCTCATCAACGACCCCGGCATCGACGTCATCTACAACCCACTCCCCAACGGTCTGCACTACGAGTGGACGCTCAAGTGCATTGCCGCCAAGAAGCACGTGCTTCTCGAGAAGCCGTCGACGGCAAACGAGGCAGACACCAAGAAGCTTTTCGAGGAAGCAAAGAAGGCCAACGTGCTCGTCCTCGAGGCGTTCCACTACCGCTTCCACCCGGCACTCCACGAATACGCCTACAGGCTGCACGACTTTATGTCGCCTCAGAACCCCTTGACCGAGGTCGAGGCATATCTCAATGCGCCCGGCGGCATCTTTCCCGATGACGACATTCGCTTCAACTGGAAGCTCGCCGGCGGCTCTCTCATGGACACTGGCTGCTATCCCACCTCCGCGGTTCTCTACACCATGCGAGCCGCTGCCGGATCGTGGCAGCGTGCCAATTGGGAGGACGGCATTGAGGTGCGAGAGGCTCATCCCACCCACTTCTACCCCAAGAATACCAAATCCAAGGCACATCTCAATGCCAAGGGCGATCCGGCGATCGATGGCGTCATGGAGGCGACGGTGCTTGTGCCCACAGCACGCCCCGCCAAGCTGCCGTGCAAGATTGAGGCCTCGCTGTCCAAGGCGCTCTTCACCATTCCCGTTCTTGGATGGCGCGTGCCCAACCTCTCGAAAGTCACTCCAACGCTCAAGGCCACCTTCAAGGACGGCAGCACCGTCGAGCTGCAGAACTTTGTGGGGCCCTGGCTCTGGCACACCATCAAGGCGACCTACCGCGGCAAGTCGGCAGCAGAGGCCGGTGTGGCTGAGGGCACAACTCGCAGCTACAAGGCGTACGTCCCCGGCGACACGGCTGGCACCGACCAGATGCGCAGGGCTGCGAAGGATGGCCACTGGCCCAAGGGTACGGGCCAGCCATGGTGGTCCACCTACAGATGGCAGCTGGAAGCCTTCGTGCTTGGCGTCGAGGCGGTCAAGGCAGGCACCAAGCCTGACGAAGTGTCGCCGATCAACATGATCAACGAGGACCGAAGCGCCGACACCCCACGAGCGCCCGTCTGGGTGCAGAACGAAGAGTCGGTCATCATCATGAAGACCATCGACGCCATCTATGAAAAGTCCGGCCTGGCCAAGCGCGTCTCCCCCACCGCATAGCCTTCTCCCACAGCATAGCTTTACCCCACAGCATCGGTGTATATTAGCAGCGGAACAGTGATGACCCGGATCAAGGGCGAAGAGTGTGAGAGCCGAGTGTGACGTTTGAAGAGAACAGTGGCTGATGCACGGCCGTCGGCTGCTTTGAATCGATGTGGCTTTGCTTTGCCTCTCCGCTTCGCATGCCGAAGGTCGGCACACATACGACCTGAGAGAGGGGAGTGTGGTGGAGCCGGAGCGCGGGCGAGTTACAAACGTGAAATGCGTCGGAGACGATCCGATTTGAGCGCAAAGGCTATGCTTAGCATCGTCGAATCACGCCCGTGAAGAGGCTCTGCGGACTCATCGGACCCGGAAGCAACCCGAAAGCATCGTCGTTGGCGACTGACATGGACTCAGCTGGTGCAGTTGGCACAGGGAGGAGCCGAGTGTTCTCATCGACCTGCAGCGACTCCATGGGTGCTCCATCAAACGCATCGGACACAAGGTGTACATTGTGTGAAATTTTCCAGACGGAAGTACGGGTACAAAGTAAGTCGCTTGGGTATCTAGTAGGTCAAACCGACGCAGCGTCCGTCCATGCCGATAGCCCACCACGGGGCGCCGATGAGCAGCACACAGATCAGCACGCCCGCGACCCACGACACGACGGCGTACCGCACCGCCCTGCGCGGGCTTAGTGTCCTTAGCTCCACCGCAAACGTGCTGATGGTCGAGAGGCAGCCGCAGAATCCGTCCTCGAGGCCCTGCAGTGCCTGGCATGCCGTGCGGCCCCCTGAGAATGACGAAGGCGTCGATCCGACCCGCGAAGCAGTGAACGCAGCTGCGATGACAGCAGTCGCAAGCAGGTTGGCTGCGAGTGTTCCGAGGGGCAGTGCGGTGCGTTTGGCGAGCGCGTGGGTGTTGAGCCGCGACAGGTACCAACGCAGCACTGCGCCGGGCGGCGCAAGCACGAGGCTGAAAGTGACGTTTCGAAACGGTGCGTACAGCGCGCACAGCACCGCAGCGCCGATCCAAAACACCAGCCCGAGCACCGCCGCAGCCGCATCCATCCCAAGCGTCCTTCCGGTCGACACCGCCTTACCGCTCGGCGCACCTCTCCGCGCGAGCGAGAAGACGCGCTCGACGTTGAGGACACTCGACAGCGCAATACCGGCGGCAGTGGCTGCTATGGCCATGCCGAGCGTGACGCCCGTCTGGGTAAGTGCGTCCATGACATTGTGCAGGCCGTGACGGTCGTAATGCATCTGGTTGCCGAATGCGCGGAAGACGGCGAGGATCCAGCTGGAGAAGGCGGTGACGCTGCCGCAGAAGCCCGTGGTGATCATCACGTACGCCGGCGGATAGCGCCCTTCGATCGGCTTCCGGTTGGCGCCCACCGCCAGACCCATGACCAGACACCCGACCGCCTGCGCCCACACCAGCGGCGCAACACCTTGTCCGTCGTATGTGTTGAGCGCCACAAGGCCTTCGCGCGCGAGAGTGCCCCAGATCGATGCAAAGGCCATCAGACCAAGCACGGCCAAGTGTCGCATGATGCGGTGCAGCGTCCCCGCGGCCGGCGCGAGGTCTAGCGCCTTGTCCGACTCGCGGTGCGTGGGCAGCGCTGAGCCTGCTGCGGTGGTTGTGGTCGGCGAGGTGGATTGCGTATCCTGCCCTGCGGTCACATCTGGTGGTTGATGACTCGAGATAGTCCGCTCTTGTGGTATTGGCTTCTCTACTTGGGCTGGGTTATTGGACGACGATCTGGAAAGCACCGTGTTGTTGTCATGCGCGTGGATGGTGTGCGCAGCGATGCTTGTGCGGCTACGCGCGTCGTCCATGTGGTAGGCGCTGAGATCGGCGCGAGCGTCGGTGTAGTATCCCTCGCCGTCGGTGGCCGATGCGAACGTGTCGGTGGCACTGACCACCGAGGTCTTGTGCGAGAGCGTGGGCGTTGATGCTCCCGCTCGTTTTGTCGATGGCACAGCGTGTCCACCCATGGCTGCGACCGCGGTGGATGCGAGGAGAAGAAGATGGTGGTGACGTGCGAGGGTGTTGCCGTGCAACCCAAAGACCAATCGCGCCCAAAAAAAAACAGGCTCGCGAGCCGACGGTCGGATTCGGCTGCGTCCACGCGGTTGCCATCGATTTGGCCAAATAGTGCGGTTTCGGGCGCACTCCGTCGCGATGAGTTCGAGCCGTCGCGATGAGTTTTATGCACGCATGCATAAGCGAGCTCCATTGCGACGACCATTCTCATTCTATCACGACAGCATCTGAATGAAGAATGGAGGGTTTTTTCATCACGACGGATTCCGTCGTTATACTGATGAGCGTCGCGATGAGGCCGGTCACGTGAGAGCAAAAGACATGTAATTGCAGCAAATGTAACACTCTGAGTGGAGCGTTGCTTACCAATGATGAGAACTAGTGAGGATCAGGGTCTTGGTGTGTGCTGAATGGAGCTGTTTCGTCGCATTCGGCGTGTGCGACTTGTACTACCACCATATCATTCGGCTCCGAGGTGCAGTCGGTGTGTGTGCAGTGAGGGTGATCAAACATTTGTTAAATTCCGATTCCCGAGTTCATTGCGACGTAGTAATTCATCACGACGACTGCGCCTGAACCAATCCATCCGTCTTAACAACACCATCTTTTTACCGAGCTCGGCTAGCACCGTCATTCCAACACGACGGTTGCG